TATATATATATATATATGTCTGTACATCTATAAACGTATTTATCCCTGTACTTCTGTACATTTGTATCCAAATGTTGCTATAGACCCATATATTCTGTGCCTTTCAGGCCAACGGTCTCTTGCAGTCAGAAGAATGTACCCAACTGAGGCAAGTAATATTCGTATTCATAGTTCTCGTAGACACGTGCAAGTAGGTCTGTACAAGAGGGTATCATATATACGCCATTTCAAACAGAGGAATGCAATCTCGTTGTATACAAATTTATGTTTGAGGGTAAACGGCTCAATATCTGCTAAATGATTCTTTCTGTGGAATTCTGGTGCGATTTCGTTCCCCCGATGGAGCAGACGCTCAATCCGAGGCCACTGCAGAGCAACACATCCACGATGTCCCATTACGATTTCCCACAAATTGAGTCCGGGGTCGATTCGCAGGATCCAATTCTTTTTGAGTAAGTACGAGTTTAAGGTATAATCCACCAGGCCGATGCTAGTAACCTGTAACTTCTCGTGTTGCAGAGAGATGCCTATTGGTTGTGATGTATGTGTTGTGCATGATTCATTACGGCGCTCGTAAGTTCTCGATATAAAGTAAACGTGCAGCGCATACCAAATGGCGTATCTATTATTGTCCGCATTTAACGGCTCAGCATGTTTCAGGTGAATTCCTGTGCAGACGTCGTTTAGTATTTGTAAGTATATATTTGTCACTCTGTTGTAGGCAGTAGCTTCTGAAATCTTTTTTAAAATTTATTACGATCTATGTTGCTAAATATCTACTATTTTCCCTATCTCGGTTGGGTTGACTACTAAATGACAAACCAGTATATGCCGATTACCGCCAGCCGAGATAGTTTAAGCGTCATGTACGTAAGCTTCTCCCGGGGAGTTTATAAATCACTACTAACGAATTCTTTCCCCACTGCATGCGTCCATCTCCTTGCCATTTCAAATCACATCATTCGGTTCCTGGTACGACAACCACACTGATCTGGATACGCAGCATGCTTGGTCTGAGCGACTACGACATGCCTCTACTGTAGCGCGTAGGAGGGGGGAACGGTATACAAAGTGTGGAACGATGCTATCGCGCACAGCATCTGGGTCTCATGAAGACGCTCAGAGGTGTCGCGCGGCAAGAACGTACACGATGCATACACCATGTCAGTGCCGGTAGGAGTGGTATTCACCTGAAGCACAGTGTGGGCAGACGACAGCCTTACTGGTGCAGCTGCGGTCCGAAGGAGGTTCACCCGATATAGTAGCAGTGCCTATAACTGTCGTATAATAGCTGTCGTATGATAGCCTATAGCTGTCTTATGATAGCGCGTATATGTCGTATGATAGCCTGTAGCTGTCCTATGATAGCGCGTATATGTCGTATGATAGCCTGTAGCTGTCGTATGATAGCCTATAGCTGTCGTATGATAACCTATAGCTGTCGAATGATGGCTTATAGCTGTCGTATGATAGCCTATAGCTGTCGTATAATAGCCTATAGCTGTCGTATGATAGCCTATAGCTGTCGAATGATGGCCTATAGCTGTCGTATGATGGCCTGTAGCTGTCGTATCATAGCATATAGCTGTCGCATGATAGCCTATAGCTGTCGTGAATCTGCTCAAACACATGACTTGTTTGGCCATGGGGATAACATGGCCCAGAAATTGTTCAGACATGTTGGGGAGAGAGAGAGGGGAGTCATGATCTGTCAACGGATCGCTTGTACATACACATGATGTGAGTGTGACTGGAGATGCTACGGTTACGCCAAAGAGTTCACTGGTTCTGCACACCGAGCAATGCAATACAAAGTAGTGTGATATATAAGATAGCTAGATATGTAATTTGGTGCTGTATATAATGTACATATATACATACACATTTTGGACTGCCAGAGGTCCCAAAAGTGCACTGGTTGTACCGGCGGCAGCGCGTGTCATTACATCTGGGTTGCGGCCTTTGAACCAGAGTTCTGTACCGAATAGCCGGGCGTAAGAGTTTTAGAAACTAAATATAGTATTACTACATACACAGGAGAGTAGTGTGCATGCTAAGTGGGCCAGGGTCCGTGCTTTTACGCTGCATACCAGATGGTATACATCGCGAACCGTGTGACGCATGAGGGAGCGTGGTGGGGCTGAAAGAGGATGTACGGATGATTGTAAAGAAAAGTAGAACGATGGGCATACGCAACGAAACTCCAAATAATATGAATGGTCAAAGCATACGAGTGAGCAAGAGCCTCGGGGCCTGGCAGCATACTCGAGAACGTATAGCCCAAGCCGGGTTAGCTTTGTACCAAATGATAACATAGAAGATTCCAAATGAGATGCTGCGCCAATGTATGTCTCACATGATGATTAAAAACCCTAAAACCCGGTAGGGTGCAGCATATGGCTGGACAAATATCAGACAATTGATCTGTTCCTTCGAGTTATTGGTTCACACACAGTCTAAGGCATATTCGTAGATCAAACAGCATAGGATTGCAACTACACACACGAATAAATGAATCTTCTCAGTGTGAAATGAAAGCGGGTTCGGTTGGGTTGCATAACTACAGACAGCTGTTCTGTACTTAGCGCACTTACTCACCCACCAACTAATTGGTTAGCCTTATTCTCAATTATTTGGGGCACGTATTGTTCCTAAATACCGCTATGGTGCAACCACCAGCACTCCTTCGTACACTCCGGTTTATTAAACCCATCCTCAATCGTCGTTGTGAACCCAACAACCTCTCACGTCATAGACAAAGGTACGAGTAAAAGTCCATGCAGGGCAGACCGCTACCATCTGGGTCTTAGGAGATAGTGGCTTTAGTGGGCTAGGTTTGATACGCTTAGAACTTGGTACCAGCCACTACTGTTCGCCATCGTCGGCCGTGGGAGACGCATACATAAAATATGCGTTGAACAGTGTATGTACCCCATAGGATTTCAAATAGTAAGATGCGATATATATAAATATATATTTAAAATGTATATATAAATGTATATATATATATATATATATATTTATATATATATATATATATATATATATATATAATAATAATAATAATAATATATATATATATATATATATATAATAATATATATAGTA